TGAGAGCTATAATACACCCCAATCAACAAAATAAGTATTAACGTCTCTATCCCATTAGGCGAACACCTAGGTTATGGTCACATCCCTAGGCTTTTAAACTATTTGGAAAAACACCAAAAACATTCATTTCTAGTTTATTTTCCTTAGCTCACAATTGTTAGAGTAATAGTAGAAGTAGAAATCAAAACTCTTTGTGAAAGTGCAAATTTAGTTAATCCATTCGCGTTCTTCAAATATATACTCCTAACACCCCTTATAACTCTCTGTTGATTCGAACCCAACTCATAGTTGGATAATTTATATTGCATATGATTGTATCATATCTCTTATCGAGGTGTGTTGTGGACGTCGTCAGCCTCATTTTGTGCCTTTTCCAGCTCGGCTCGGAAAATTGGGAGGTCCTTGAGGGACTCGTCTTGTTGTTCAATCCTCATCGCTATCTTCCTAGTAATCATATAAGTCTTCATCATCGCATGTTTCACTTTCATCTAGTAATTCTTCCCCATCACTTATTTCATGTTCAACACCTCTATCTTCGTCCTCATTTGGTCCAAGGACAGAAGGATCAAATTCTTCATATATCCTTTCATGATACTGCAATTCATCTGCTAATTCATCATCCACTATTGATTCAACATTTGAAATGTCATTCTAGTACGCCACATCTAATGCATCTTCGACTACCACTCTACCCACGGGCTTTGTTTTCAAAACTACCCCCCATGCAGACTTATTCTTGCTCAAAGGATAAGGAGCATAATACAGTTGTTTCACCTTTTGTGCAATGATAAAGGGATCATAAAGTCTATACTACCCCGTGTGTTTAATTTCAACTATTGTGTACTGAGCGTGCACCTTTGTACCTCTATTCGATGTTGGATCATACCATTTATGATAGGATTAAGCTAGTTTAATTATCTGATAAGCTTAGCGAATCACTTGTTTACATAAAATTTAAATTCGGGCTTATGAGTGGACATGTATTATTAACATATTCTTGTTTAACCCAAAATTTCAACCATACCTAATTCAACATATTCTTATCTCTTTTTGTTTTATATTAAGTATCATTAAAAAACTAAAATCCCTAAAATTTCAACCATACCTACTTCAACTAGCTAGGATGTTCATATATAGAAAATTACTACAAATGTAACAATAAAAATAAGATATATATGTCAACTAAATACTTACCTTGACGGAAAAAATGCCGAAGAAGTCGACTGAGGAGTTGTTGCCGCCGCCGCCACCAACCACTGCTGCAAAATAGATAAACAAAATTAATAAATTAAGGGAAAAGGGGAGGAGGAAGGAGAGGGAGAAGGGAGGAGGAAACGAGAGAGAGAGAGAGAGAGAGAGCAAACATACATTGTTCTTGGGGATGGGGGAGAATGAGAGAGGAACTTCTGTATTTTGGGGACGAGAGAGAGAGATGAGAGAAGGAGGAAAAAAAGTGAGCTTCAATTTTTTAGGGACGGGATGTAGGGTTTTTAAAAAAAATTCCGACCGATTCGGTCGGAATAGTTATTTTAATTTATTTTTTAAAAAAAAACTACCGACCAAATCGGTCGGAAATGAAGTCAAACAAGTCAAAATAAATTTTTCGCCAAAAGTTACGACCGATTTGGTCGGAAATGTGGTCGAAAAAAATTTAAAAATATATAGGAGATATCTTTTTGAAAATTTTGACAGATTCCGTCGGAAATTTCCGGACAAAAAAATTCAGTCGGAAATTTCGGTCGGAATTTAGCATTTTTCTAGAAGTGCCTGTACATGTCCTTCTTCCGAATTTTCTCTTTGAGCTCGAACTCGAGCTGGCTGATTTCCAAGTGGGACTTAAGGAAGCTTTCATCGTGAAGCACCGAAGCCTGAAAGACAATGAGATCATTAGAATATGCTAAAACTAAGTAAAGTTCGCAAAGGATACGAAGAATATACATCTTACCCGGTTTAGTGCATGTTGCGCCTCGTTGAAGAGGCTCGATGTGCCCTCCTCATTCATCTTCGTCTGATCCTCCTCGGTCACCAAGCAACGAAGATATCTGGCCACACCCACCAGAGCAGACATCACCCGGGCATCCGCTGGGATAGTAAGAATGACCGTTCTCTTGCGGTCACGATCCACACTTGGGGAAGGAAATTGCCTCACTAGCTTCGTGCTCGAGCTCGACTGGCCCGCTCCCGATGACATGTCCTTTTTTTGGACCTCCAGGTGACCAAGCCTGGAGTAGTCCTCTAACGCACTCATGTCCATGCCGTCAAAAAATATGGTGAGGGCATCATCTGGGCCCGACGTCGTCTCGTTTGACATCTCTTTACCGGCTTGAGCCTCTTCAAACATGGACTCTGTGTGGGATGGCGTCTTCGCAATGTCAATGACACAGGCTACTTCTTTTGGGGAAGGAGAGGTTTCTCGAGAGGTCGTGGCCTCCGATTCTCCTTCTGGTTCCCGAGATAGAGGGAAATCAACCTCTCGGTCACCTTCCTCGGTCGTTGCCTGCTCTCCCTTATCGATGGTCGACCCATGAGCAATGAACACAAGATCGTCATCCGCAAGGTAATCCCTGAGCCGGAAGAGAGAATCGGGATCCAGTACCCTAGATTTGGTGTTCTTTTTGTTGCTTTTCTGGACCTGGACATCAACCCTCTTCTTCTTCTTCACCTCGGCGTCCAGGGAGCCAGAGGATTTCTCTTTTTCTTCTTCTCCTCCTTTACGGCAGCTCCGGGATGCCCCGAAGCGGAGGGTTCAGCAAGCAAGGATGGGGCCTCGTCCTCGTCCAATGGCCGAAGCTCGGTGGTCTTGGGCAAACCTGTGATAGGAAAAAGACTTAGCGAATATAAAAGTTAGGAATATAAATGCCATTATTCGGGCAGAAAACTCACCATGGGAACGGGCCTCCCACTTGCCCCTCGAGAGCTTGCTTCATTCGCATTCAAAGTAGGACATTTATTTACAAATCCCCTCGATCCACTCCTTGAAGCGGGGGATTGCATTAGGGACTTGGGCGACCGATGGGCATCGGTAGACTCGTGTAATTAGAAAAAGAACAAAAGGAAATAGCGAGCACCCGAGAAGGAGAAGACATACGGGATGAGTTCCACTTTTCAGGGAATGGTAGAAATTATGGGGAATGAGGCCTTCAGTTTTTACCCGTACAAACCTCCCATGCCAGCCTCAATTCCAATCTTTCATCGATGCTCGAGAATGGGGCTTTACTTGCTCGACGAACGAGCTTGATCAGCCATCCTCGGAAGATTCGAGGACTGTAGAGACGAAGTAGGTGGTTGAGGGTGAACCAAGCGGTTTCGGTGTTGTTTACGAAGTGGCGGAGGAGGATCACGATCCTCCAAAAGGACGGATGAATCTGCCTAAGGTAGACCTCTTACCTTTTGCAGAAATCAAGAATTATGGGGTCCACAAGGGCGAGCGTGAAGGGGTAAGTGTAAACACTTAAATACCCCTCTACGTGAGTGGTGATGTCCTTGTTGGACCCAAGAATGACCACATCCTTGCCCTCCCAGTTACAATCCCCCCCAGACTGTGGGGAGTATATCTTCAGTGATGAAGGATATATACCTCCATACCCCTCGCCTCGATCTTGCTTACTGGAAGCCTTCTCGACTTTGAAGTCATTTTTGATTGAACATCTCTTAGGTACGAAACTCTTTAAGGGAGGATCCGAGACCACCTCAGGAACAGATACCTCGATATCCGCGACCAGGTTAGAAATTAAAGGGGCGGTTTGCTGAGGCACAGATTTGAAAGTCTTCGCCATCGAATTCTGGAGAATATGAAGATTTGAAGAAAAATATGAAGATTTGAAGATGGGGATAAAGATATGAAGATCTGATTTAAAGGTTTGAAGATTTGAAGATCTGGAAAGTGACGTATGAAGATTTGAAGAGTTTAAAGTTAATGGAAGAATTCTCGGGTAAAGTCAAACAGCTCTAAAAATCGAAAAGAGGAAAACTGAAAAAAAGGTCAGGGTTTTTATAGAGGAAAAGAGTGATCAATGCGTGACGTTTAACGTTCAAGGACAGTCAACCGGCGGCTGACGCGTGTCCGAAGTTAGAATGACGCGACTGATGGGATATTTCGTTGACCCGTCAACCCGGTTATAACGTACGAAGGAAGGAACCGGGGTTCATTTATCGCTTCACGTCGCTTCGATAAATCTACTCTCCGGCAAACGAGGGGACTATCTGTGTACGGGGGGCAATATCTTCCCTGATTCCCCTATAGAAGAACGAAGGGAAGTACGAGTTGACAACATAATCGAAACCCGGGAAAACTGAACGGTGTGTCCGACATCGGACACGGTTAAGCGATGCACCCCGGACCAAGTATAGCTTTTTGACCTCGGGAGACGCGGTGAACGGTTATGCATGATGGATAGGGGGTCGTAATATTCTCTCTCAACCGGATATTACGGTGTGAATCCCGCTCAGTGTCGATTATGGATCAACGGTTACCGAAAAAAAAAAGATTTTTACCCTTTTTAGACTTATACTAGGACTAAATCTTTCCTACTATATAAAGGAGAATTTTTTCTTTACTCTGACACAATATAACTCGCAATTCAAAGCAATAAAAGTTTACTTTTGTCATCTAGCTACTGTAAAAGGCATTATTCGTTGTTTCTTTTCTTCATTCGCGACTGGGCTTGAACCGGGGCCCGGGGTCCAATCGAGGACGAGCTCACTGTTCAATCTAAGATCAGTCTTGGTTATAACATTGTGATTGGTTTGATCGTTTATTTCGTCTTTAATTCATTTATCTATTACTCTTAATTATTCGTGTTGAATTAAACCACGTATTATTTAAGCCGCGTAAGAATTTAATTGTCGACCAATTTTGCTTAAATAATTTGATACCCCCAAGTACTATCATAGTTGTACAGTATTTAATATTCAATTCCCAACAACCACATGACTGTGAAAAATGTTTGAATACCTTCCCTAAACGAATCTAGCTTGTTTCTGTGACTTGATGCTTGACAATCGATATAGAGAGTCCCACAAATTAAAGTCTATTTCTCCCCTTCTGTTTTTACCACACATCATTAATTCTCTCTTTCTTTCTTGCTAAATTCTGGTTGTAAGCCATTGATTTGATCTCCATGCTATTATCCAAGGACACATGATTATTACATACACGAATAAAGAATATGTCTCTTTAGCACGCCACTCCCACTTCACCTTCTTTACGTAATTTTTCCATTCTGAAATCTTTCATTAGTGAAGCAATGGAGCTAGTGGAAACATAAACACGTCGTCAAGATTTGCCAACTAAGTTGTCTTCTCTTTACTTCTACCGTTTAGTACTTTCTTTTTTGGGTCTTCAATTGATCATAAACAACGCCTTTTCGCCGCTTATTTGGTATTTAATAAGGAAAAAATGGGTCTATTACGACCGGAAAAGTTGGTTATGAGCTAAAAGTCTTGTCGTTAAAAGTATACGATCGGATTTGACTGCATAAGAATTTTTCCAATGCTAAAACTAAATTATGGATGGAGTTTGGGAATGGGGAAAAAATATGATCTTTTCATTAGGGGAGGAGACAATTTTTTGAGAATTGAGGGGAAGAGAAGAAATGAAATACAGAGGAGTCGTTTGAGCTGCTGCAGTAGCATTGACTGTGGGCGAGTTATAACTGCGACTGAAAATAGTTTTAGTTATAGTTTGCCAATGGCAGCTGCTGCAGTTGAAGAAAATGAGGGAGAGGAATTTGTGAAGAAGATGAGAGAAATTCAGCCATATTTTCTTGCACACAGGGGTAGAACATTTGTCCTTGTTCTATCTGCTGAGATCATTGACAGTCCTTATTTGTCTTCTTTACTCAAGGTATGTTAGCTTCTTTAATTGCTAGTCTGATTTTGAACACCTAACTTTTTTTTCCCCAAGGAAGAGTTAATTCTACAGTATCGTCTCAATATTTTACTGTGAATTTAAGATAAATATAGTAATTTTTATAGTATTTATACATATATTTTGAGTTTGGCATGAAAACAGTAAATATCTTGTTCTCAAATCAAACTCTATCATCAGTGAAATCTCCTCAGAAGTACGTTAATTTTGCATTTTCAATCAATTGATGCAGAACCTACTTATTCTTTCACAAATTAACTCGCGTAGTGATCCTTTTCATCATATAAAATGGTAAGGAGTATTTCTCTCTTTTATGGATTGAGGAGTGCTTCTTATCATATAGTAGTAGGATGTATTTGCGCTAAATCTAAGCAATAGAAGTTCCACTATTTTTGTATGCTTTCGTTGTTCTTACTTCTCTTGTTTCTCGACCCGACCAAGGATTTTAACGTAACGGGAGCACCACTATTTTGCTCAATCAGTTATCTCTAAATTAAGGCTTTTAGTATTCAGGATGTCATTATATAATTAATTTTAAGATATATATATATATATATATATATATCTTAAAAATAAAAGATTTTTGCCAAAATTTAGGGCCCACAATACTATGACGACTCTTAGAACGTTGTAGATTGTGGCTACTCTTGTGCCCACTTCAATTAATTTCTTTAAAAAATACCTATAAAATTGTTATAGGATCATAGTTAATTTTTCCAAAAAGGGATGGACTTCCTGTGAAAATTTGCAATAAAATAACTCTCAGCGTAGACGAATATGTGCGTGCATGTGATTCACGTGTAATACTATTTTCAAATGTCTGAAAACAAAGTAAGATTCTCGTAAGAGCTCGCTTCCAATTAACAGCACCACTTGGTGTGTCAGCTTTGTCGTTAATGATCACAAATTAAACGTGGCCCTTTCTTAGGAGATTATTAAATTGAAAAAGAGCGAGAATAAAACAAAAACAATTTAGATTTAGATTATAGATGTATTTGGTAGTAATCGGTAGGTGAAAATATGTAATTGATCAGAATATCATGAAACTTATTACTAGAAAAACAATGTAAATATTTTTAATTTGGAAAACTATTTTTTTATCTACTCCTATTTACTAGACATTGAAATGTAAGAGAAAAATTCACTTACTTTTCAAGAAGATACTTTTTATGAAAATATTATCGAGCGGAGCTAGAAGACCAATAACTTCAAACTTTATTTTTATAATTTGAAATATAATTAAAAATACATAATATTGCTATCGCGAAACTTAAAACTATAATAAAGCGCATATCAATATATACATTCTGGACTGAGAATATTTGCAGCACCGTTCAATATTATGGCTAATAATTAAGAAGAAAACCGGTCGGACTGGACAGACCGGGTCGACGGTTAACCAGTTGCCGGTTCATGTCTGTTCCCGGAAAATCTCTTCTTCACTTCTCCATTCAGTAGCCGCAAAATATCAGCTAGTAGTATTACTCATTTTCATTTTGTTGCTAAAACCACAAAATTCCCAATGTCAGCTTCAAGCCCTTGTGCTCCAATTTCAATAAAACAACGCAAGCAACCAATTATTTTGACACCTCGAATTGGAAATAAATTCCAAGCGAGACGAAAGCTGTTATCATTTGGAGTTAATTTGGCGAAGAGATTTTCAATTAAGTGCAACGTTTTTGGTGAACCGGAGAGTGCCGGTTTATTTGACGTGAGTAATGCAATAAAGGACGATATATTCGTGGGGTTTTTTCGAGAAGCTTGGCCTTATTTTCTAGCGCACAGAGGCAGCACTTTCGTTGTTCTAATCTCAGCTGAAATTGTTGATAGCAGCCCTCATTTGGATCCTCTTCTCATGGCACGTTCCTAAATTTAACTTTGTCTTTCCATTTATCCATATTACTAGAGTTTAAAACAGAATTTTGCACTATCAGGTCATTTAAAGTGAAATTTGTAATTAGGTAAATGTGGTCGGATAGTATAATTTTTTTTGTATATAACTTAAACTTTATTACTATTCCTAAGCTTTTATTCTACTCCATCTATACCAATTATGTAATATTCTTTCTTTTTAACAAAAATGGTGACTTTCTTTATTTAGAAATAGTTACTAAACTTTCTCTTTCAAGTTAGAGGTAAGTTTTGCTTATATATTAACCTCCTTAGACCCCATCTATGAGATTCTACTAGGCTTGTTGTTGTTGTTATTAAACTTTCTATTTTAACCTTAATGAGATTATTTTTATAGCCCCACAAATATTTATGGCTTAAACTTCGTGCCAAGTCAAGCATGTCACATAAATTGGGGATGGAGATTTTTTCACTTTCAGTGTAATTTAGAGAAGTTTTAATTTTAAAAGAACTCTAATTCACACAAATGTTAAGATTTTCAACATAAAGCGAAATAGATGTAGAAGATTCATATAGTCGATTTGAACTAGTTTGAGATTGAGTAGTGATTTATTTTCTGTAATAGCAAGTTCTTTATTTTGTTGATTTTACTTTACTTTCAGTAATGTGTGGTGCTTGATTTTAAGGTGAACAGCTGGCTTTATGCTATTTACTCATAAAATTTACAGGATATTTCTCTACTTCATGGCTTGGGAATCAAGTTTGTTCTTGTACCTGGAACTCATGTCCAGATTGATAGCTTTCTGGCTGATAGGGGTGAGAAAAATGCTGTTATTTTCTTTTCTTGTTCATTTTGTTATTGCCAATTTGTCGCTGCTACCTATCTTTTCTTCGCCGGGAAGCCCTTTCCATGTGACCTATAGGTTATGGATTCGAGTCGTGGAATAAGCCACTAGCAGTTGCATTAGGTTAGGCCGTTAGGCTGCCTATATCACATTCCCTTGGGTTGCAGCCCTTCCACGGTTCCTACGTAAACGGTGATGCTTCGTGCACGGGCTGCCCTTTACCTCAAATTTTTGTTTTGCTTAAGAATGTTGATTTTCCTTGTCTTAGTGTTATCATCCTATAGATGGTGTTCCTGCATTGGTACATCTATTTTCCTATTAAATGAGGAGAAGTATCTAAATATGTAATATAACAAACTCCGAAGACATTAAGCCGATGAAACTCAGGAAAGTCTAAAATGGTATTTTTCGTCCAATCTGGCTCGGCTGTTGCTTGGGGGAAACTGCTTTTGTTTTGCTCTAAACAGTGAAGAATTCAGGTTAAAGCTTGATCAACTAGCTAATGATGAGCTGGAGCTCATAATCTAGTAAATAGCTTAGATGCAAGATCCTATTTTCAATTACGTTGACTATAATGCATTCCCAAATATTTCTACAACAATTAACAAGGAGAAACCCAAAGCTACGGTTATTCCTTTTCTTTCATAGAAGAAAGAGAAAACAACCACCTTATGCATTTCAAAATAACCAATCGTTGCATGCAAAGGAGTTTAACAGCGTATGCTATTTACTATTCAAATCTTCTACTTTTTCTCTTTTTAGTTATCACTATTATGTTAATTTTATTTTCCCTTAACTACAATTTGTCTCTATTCTATGAAGCATATTCTCAGAGGCAAGTGATTTGATAACTCTTTCTCACAGGAAGTGAGCCCAAGTATGTAGGCCGCTACAGAGTTACAGACCCTGATTCACTGATGGCTGCAATGGATGCAGCTGGGAGAATTCGTCTTATGATAGAGGCAAAATTGTCTCCTGGGCCGTCATTGACTGGTGTCCGCCGACATGGAGAAAATAGTCGCTGGCATGATGGTGTTAGTGTTGCCAGTGGTAATTTTCTAGCAGCAAAGGTGAGAATATGACCTCATTGCATTACGTAAATATATGAAATGCATTTGTCATTCTTTTTGGGTTTTAAATTTTCTGGCATCAAATATGACAATGAGATTGACTTGTGATTTTCATTATAATTTTGATGCAGAGGAGGGGAGTTGTAGAGGGAATCGATTATGCAGCAACGGGTGAAGTAAAGAAGATAGATGTTTCTCGAATTCGTGAGAGGCTTGATCAGGACAGCATCGTGCTATTAAGCAATCTTGGTTATTCCAGCTCTGGAGAAGTTTTGAACTGCAAGTATGCTTTATGGATTTTGATATGTATCTTTGTTGATGTTATGCATCATTATACTTAAGTCATTAAAATCAGCAAATAAACGGAGTTATACTAAAGCGTGGTGATACATAAGACTACAGCTTCGTGTAGTTAATTTCCCTGTTCTACCCTCTCTTTCAATCAAACTTGTAGTTGCCATTTTCATGCTTACTTTAACTTATGTGACATTCTCCTTTTTCATTCTTCAACTGTTTGACAGGCACAAAATGTTCCTTTTCTCTTTTTTGGTGAGACTCGTGTACTTGGAAGATTGCAATACTTAAATCTCAGTGATAGGATCAATATCCAGAAGTCAATCCAAAAAATCAAAATAAAGTCTTCTAGTGATATCTTAACATGAAAAAAAGAGGAAATAACAAGCAACAATGTGATATATGCCTAGGGTGCACGTCGTCAAGTGTTATCAGAAAGAAGTGTAAAATTAAGTATTGGAAAAGAAATGTTACTTCAGGTTGATCTCATTCAGGTCACACATTTGGGTTTCTGGTTACTTGATTGAATAGGTGTTAACACCCAAATTGTGTGTTTTCTTATAGTACTGTTTATTTACCTATCAATCGATTTTTTCAGGATACATGTACATTTAGATAGAAGTTCAAAGACACTCAACTGAGTGATAAGGAAGTACACCAACAACTTTCTGTGCTTGTCCTTCTTTTTGTTACAAGATAGTACGGTTTTCTTATAAATAATATTGTGTGCGCACACGCATATGTGGGACAAAAAAGATTCCACTCTGTTGGACGGGTGATATGGATGGGCTTGTTGAGTTAAAATTAGCTTAGCGCTGGACTATGAACACATCTTTATCCCTCATTACGGATAGAAGCCAATAATTTCACGATTTTATGTTGGAATGCTATTCATTGTATCAATCTTTTATTCTTGGGAACTTAGCTTGTTTTACACAGTGGTCATCTGTTTGCAGAGATTACTTCATTTTAGTTCTTAAATATGTACTATTTTTGCATTTTTCTACAGAGTGTCAATTAAGCTAGATGCTCAGTACACAACATTTTTCTGAGACTACAATCCTGAGTCAGCTTTTTGTGGATATGTTTGTGCGTCACAGCCCTCAGTGTGAATGCTTGTCTTTTAAATCAATCTACTATTCTTGGGAACTCGACTTGTATTACACAGTGGTCATCTGTTTCATGATGCCATGCCGAGTTACTTCATCTTACAGTTCGTAATATGTAACAAGTTTTGTTTTTTCTATAAGCAATTTCTGATTGATTAAACTTAGATGCTTAATATACAACATTACTGACACTTCAATCAAGAGCCAATGTTTTGTCGATATGTTTTCTCTTTCCTTCTTTATTTTTCCTCAAGTTTTAAGACTGATAATGTGTTCTATTTTATTGAAGCACATATGAAGTTGCTACAGCTTGTGCATTGGCTCTAGGAGCAGAAAAACTGATTTGTATTATAGATGGTCCAATTCTGGATGAGTCTGGCCGTCTTATTCGTTTCCTAACTCTTCAAGATGCTGACATACTGGTTCGCAAACGAGCAGAGCAAAGTGAGACAGCAGCTAATTATGTAAAAGTTGTCAGTCAAGAGGACTTCAATTGTTCAGGTCACAATGATTCCAATGGATCAATCCCCTACAATATGAATGGTTTTAGCCAACAATACAGTGTCACATTTCAGAACGGTGTTGGTTTTGACAATGGGAATGGGCTTTGGTCTAGTGAACAGGGTTTTGCCATTGGAGGACAAGAGAGACTAAGCCGATTAAATGGTTATCTTTCAGAGTTAGCTGCGGCTGCTTTTGTGTGCAGGGTAAGATCCTGGCTGTCTAATCTCTATATCTGCAGATTCATAAAATTGTCTAAACTGGTCAATAATTGTCATGTTATTTACCCAAACCCTAATTATACAACAGAAAATTGCATATTCTCTAAACTTGATCCTTGATGGCAAAAGGGGTAGATTTTGGAAGACATCTTCTCTTTGCTGTAAAACTTATTTAATAGCTTGTGCAGTTGAGATTATGTAATATTTACAGAATATCTAACTGGTTTCGTGTCCCCACTACATGCTATGGCTATATGGTTTGCGGTATCTAGTAAATATCAACTTTCACTGTGATCTTTCATCTCACTTCTTCACTTGAGGAAATTATCATGTCTCTAATAAATTGAAACCTCGTTTATCAATATGATATATATATATTGGCTTATTGGTTAAAACTTTTGCCAATTATGTACTCCATTTGCCATCAGGGAGGTGTTCAAAGAGTTCACCTGCTGGATGGTACTATTGGTGGAGTTTTACTAAAGGAATTGTTCCAAAGAGATGGAGTTGGGACAATGGTAGCTAGGTATGCAAATCTTGATGAATATTGATTGTAATTTCAGTCAAGGCATGTTGATTTAGTTTTCCACATTTTCGTTGTGTCCTCTTTAAGTTGATCAATGGATTCACTTTTCTTTGAGTTTTTGAACCGTCAATCCCCACGATTTGGTATATGATCATTAGAAGTCATTTCCAGAATTTCTTGAGATGTTTAGCCAGCTACTTATGTTGCTAAAATAAACCGAACCTCCTTTTACATTGATGTATAGAACTCCACGAGCAGTGAGAATCTGCATGTTTCTGATCCCTCCCAATTTGACATTATATTTCTAACCAAAGAAGTTCATGATCGCCCTATCTCTAGAATTAACAGCTGTATTCTCAGTTTTATAAATATGTTAGAACATAGTTAGTTGATATTTGCTATACCTTTTATGACTATCCTTCAACTAAGATGTGCATGAATCTCTCTTCCTCAGTGATCTTTATGAAGGAACACGAATGGCTCGGCTGTCAGATATTCCCGGGATCAAACAATTATTACAACCTCTAGAAGACTCTGGAACATTGATCAAAAGGAGTGAGGAAGAGGTTACAGTTGATGCGTCTTATTATATTCTACATAGTTATTAAATCAGCTTATATTTGGTTAATGTTTGTATATCATTTTTCTTTTTTCATAATTGCGTATTTTTAACTTGTTCTAGCTGGTGGAGTCGTTGCACTCATTCATTGTTGTGGAGAGAGAAGGCCATGTTATAGCTTGTGCTGCTCTCTTTCCTCACTTTGAAGAAAAATGTGGAGAGGTTGCTGCTATTGCCGTTTCTCCTGATTGCCGTGGCCAAGGACAGGGAGACAAATTACTTGGTATAGTAACTCTTTTCTCGTTGTAAAACCATTTTGTCCTCACAGTATATAATGCATGTAAGCAGTTTCAGGACGTTGTGATTATTTGCTTTAGTCCTTATGAAGTTGCAAATGCATTAACAAGAGAAATCACAACAATTGCTTCAGTCTTTACGGAGTTGATTTAGTCCTTATGAAGTTTAAGATGTTTCCTGAAGCCTCTAGGCACTTGGATATGCACGTAGTAAAAGAAATCACTTTAATTTTGTGTACTTTTTGGTATTTTATGTATCCATCAAGTGGCTTAGTGCTCGGAATAAGCACTTTCAAATAACAGCATGATGGGTCTAAGCATTTTTCATTTTTGAGTTGTCAAGAAACATAGCAATCTGTCCAAAGATAGATACTATCTGCCCTTCCGACCTAAGTTGCTCCGACACGGCAGTTTAGGTGCCGCACCCGTGTCGACACGACACTAGTATGGGTGTGGATATGGGATCTGTACCAGATCTGGTCAAACAATTTTGGGTACTTTGACCACAACGGACGGAAAAATTCGAAACAAGATACAATTTGATTCTAGAAATCAAAAACAAAACTAGGATAAATTTGAAGAAAATAGCATACTTTATCTAGGAAATCAATCTTTTACTTATCTACAACTTGAAAATAAAAAAGAAATCCACACTATACAAGCTAAGTATTCCATGAAATTTCTCATAATTTAGATATATTTTTATTTTATTGAATTATTTTTAGCCGGATCCCGCACCCGTATCCGTACTAGTATTTGTATCCCCGAATCTTAAAATTTACGTCTAGAATGATCCGACCTCTAGATCCGCACCCGTGTCCGAGCAACCTAGCTTCCGACCCATGATCCTTATTTTGGTCTAAGTTCAAACTAGAACTTTGTAACTTTTATAAAATTGGTCTACAAATTGTAAGAAGATAATGAGGGAGCTTAAAAATCTAGTGATAAGGACAAACAATTTGCATATGGTCATGTTCATAGTATTACTACCAACATCCATATGCTGAATGTGTCTGTTTGTGCCTATTAATTGATTTACTCGGAAACATGTTGAGAACTAATTTCTCATAGTCGTGCTTTTTTGGTCTGGTGTTTTATTGAAGAATTTGAGTTCTAGTTGAGACAAGTAGTTATATGTTTACTTCCGATATCTACCTAAACACAGTTGGTGTCCTTGTACTTTTTGGTCTGAATTAACATTCTGGGCATTTTATCGCAATAGCCAATAACATTCTATTCCCAAAAAACACTTGCAGATTACATTGAGAAGAAGGCATCTGCCCTTGGATTGCAAATGTTGTTCCTCCTTACAACTCGCACAGCTGATTGGTACATTCTTTTCCACTTTCCTCTTCCCTGGCCAATATATACATTGTTCGTCCTATTGGGCGAGTAAACATTGATTGCTGAACTAAAATGCAATGGACAAAGGCAGCAATAATTAAACTGAATTTGAGAATGTAGGTCCTTAGTCATCTCAACAAGGAGATAAAGCTAAGATGCTATTTCAAGGTAAAGAGAATCAAAAAGGGGAAAAAGTGTTTCTTTTGATGGACTCTTATTACTATTTAGGATTCATGAACACTCTCAAGGAAGCGACATGTATGTCTTAGGTACATGTGAAGTACCAGAGATAAATACTAAAATTGGATATGTTGGCTCCTTGATGGACACTTGTTTATTACCTGTTAGATTGTGGTTTAAAGTCGCATTTATATGATCTGCGCGATCATTATTTATTTACTATGCATTTTATAAAGAGAATTTAAAGTTGGAATTTTTGTAGAAGATAAAAGAATGTGTAGTTTGTATTGTTTTAAGTAGAGTTACAGCACTTAACTTGTCAAATAATAATGAAAAAAATTACCTTGTTGTTATCAAGTTATTTATTTATAAAGTGGTGCCGAATGCCCTCAATCTAATTCGTTTGTGCTCAAATCAAAGTACTCAACTACCCAAAGTAGCGATAAGATTAATTATCACCGAGGTATTGTATTCGGTTGAGCTTCCCTTCTATGTTAAAAGAGAGCACTTCTTGTGTTCTACCTTCTAACAAATAATTATCTAATAGCATGTTTTTATTTTCTTTTTCTTCTATTTTGCCATATATGTCATTGATCAAGTTTCCTTCTATTATCCATTTTTATTCAATATGTGCACACTAGCTGAATTATATTGACCTTATATCCAGTTTATACGGAGTGCAAAACCACCCTTCTAATTCTTTAAACTATTTTACAGTTCCCAGTCCTTAGTAGACCTTGTTTTAAAAAACTTGATGAGTCCCAATCCTTGATAGACTTATGCAAAAAAACGTCACGCATATTTATTAAAAGTTTGATTCATAAAATGTTCAATGTTGAGATTGAATTTGGTCCTTGAACAAGAAAAATATTATTGACCATCGGTCTGTTGACTTGGGGAAAACGTCACGCATTTCCCGGTTGTTATGTGGTTACACCAAGGCTCTGCACTTAGCCCGTTCTTAGTTGCATTGGTGATGGATGCACTGACATACCATATTCAAGGGGATATGTCATGGTGTTTGTTATTTGCTAATGACATAGTTCTAATTGATGAGACGCGGGACGGTGTTAACGATCGGTTGAAGGTTTGGAGACAGGCCCTCGAGTTTAAGGGTTTCAAGTTGAGCAGGTCTGGATGATAAGATGCGGAAAGCGAGGCTCAGATGGTTCGGGCACGTACGGAAGAGAAGCCTTGATGCTCCGGTGAGTAGATGTGAGCGATTGGCTATGGTGGGTACGAGAAGAGGTAGAGGGCGGCCTAAAAAGTATTGGGGAGAGGTGATCAGGCAGGACATGGCACGACTGCGGATTTCTGAGGACATGGCCCTTGATAGGAAGATCTGGAGGTCAAGCATTAGGGTTGTAGGCTAGCGGGTAGTCGAGCTTTTCCTACTTCATACTGGGGGTGAGGCGGGGTTGGATAGGGTTGATCTTAGACGACTTGTGGTTAATATCGAGTCCACACTATCCTTTCTATTTTTCTTAGCCTCGGGACTTAATTACTGGTTATTGTTATTGCATGTCATATATTTTTGGGTTTTTATGCTTCTGCTACTATTTCTACGGTTTCTGCTGACTTTACTGATGGATTGTCTCTTCTTATTTTATTCCCGTCTTCCTGAGCCGAGGGTCTATCGGAAACGGTCTCTCTGCCCCATCGGGGTAGGGGTAAGGTCTGCGTACACACAATCCTCCCCAAACCCCACTTTGTGGGATTTTACTGGGTCGTTGTTGTTGTTGTTGGTCTGTTGACTTGATGTCCAAGTATGTGTTTGCCTCCACAGGTTTGTGAGGCGTGGCTTTTCTGAATGTTCCATCGACCATATACCAGCAGAAAGAAGGAAAAAGATCAATCTTTCTCGTAGGTCGAAGTATTACATGAAGAAGCTGCTACCTGATAGGAGTGGTATACGTTTTCATAACAACACAAGGGGTTTCTGATTGTATATGTAGTGCCTCTGCAATAAGCTGGATTTAATGGACAATCCTTGTTATTCTGTGACAGTTTAAGTGTAAGAATCATAGCAAACAAGTGTAAAATAATTATAAACATAAAAATTTTACATCCCCAGGTATGTAACATTATCTGCCTTGCTTGTCTCTATTTGATTTATGTCCAAATCTGCATGGAGATATTAATTTTTGTTGTTAGTTTTGAAATGAGTTTTTTCATTCTTTATGGGTCCAAATTCGATATATTGATCATCCTAAGCAGCAGACTGCTACTATGCTTCAAATGAATTGTGTAATTCAACATTAACACATTTGTTAAGGTTTCTATCTACGTAGAGGTTACACTTTTATGGCCGAACGTGTGGAGTCATATTTTATTTTAGCTTAAAATCGTACACTTTGTGAAATTAATTGCTAAATACGAAACTTTCTTTGGCCAAACCTTACATTAGAAAAGTTTTTGAAGTGCTACTGTGATCTTTTGCATTCAACTATCTGAATTTGTAGTGGAAAAAGTAAAAAGTATAGTTATTTTTATTAGAAGATACCGAAGATTTAACCAAAGAACGGACAGGCCTGAGGGCGTTCAGACATAAGAATTGTAAAATTACGGAAAAAGGTAAAAAAAAAATATTCAAAATGATATTTGAAAATTAGAATTGTGTTTGGACATAAATACAATTCGGAACTGTTTTTGAATTTTTGTGAGTGGTTTGAAGTGAATATTTTGAAAAATAGCTTTTTGGAGTATTTCAAATTTCTGCAAAATTCTGAAATTCTACTTCAAGTAAAATTTGAAATTTTCATAGCCAAACACTGATTCCGAAAAAAAGTAGAAAAAAAAAATCGAAAAAAAAGTGTTCTCTTTTTTTATGGCCAAACGGGTACAATCAATTGTGAGCATATTCATTTGTCTTGCTTTCATTACTACCACATAATCCTAAAGCTCATTTTTCAAGCAGAGGAAACGAATACCTGTCATTCCAAGGGGGTAGGAAGTTACCAGACTGAAAAATCCTTGAGAGCAACTCATACACGGTTTAAAACTTCGATAATGGACTCGCCCCTCTACTCTTCACACTTAAATACCAAGTTTTTGTATGCGGCAGCTTTCGAACGATGGTGTGCGCTTCATCCACACATCATGCGCTGTATTACTAAAGGCCTAAGGGCAATTTACTCTGATAATTTCAAGCTCGCATAAGTGGATATACATACAATTTGGCATCAACTGCTGAGACTGTTGTACATAAGCAGGAAAATCAAATCAATTTAGTACCTTCTAATTAATCAGTGAAGTACCTCTCAAAACACATTAGCGAATCATATCTCCATAAGAGGGAAGAGGCATACACAATTGCAGGCTGAGACAATCACAAACTAAAATACAATACCAACTCCTTCAATTGGGAAAAGAAAAATAATTTACATACAAGAGAACTCTGGAAAAAGCAGCAGCAGGAATAGCCTCACAAATTCAACAAACTGAGCAGTAGTACAAGAAAGAGTATTATGCTCAACTCTTTGATTTTGAGTGCTTAACAAGCCAATCAAGGACTGAATCAATATTGGTGGAATTCTTGCATGAGATCATATAGCAACATACCTCTCTATCAGTTACAGATTTCAAATCCCTGCAATATAACAGATCATTCAGAAAAGACTCCAAATGAAGAAAACATGTAATACAATGTCTCGTTGAAGTAAAAATAGTAAAGACAAAAAAAAAAAGGAGGGTTAGCACGAGGGATAAGTCTAGTCCTGTTCAAAACTAAAACAGGAACAGAAGGAAATGCAGTGGAATTTGCTTCCTACCACAAGCTTTTTCAACCATTTAGCCAAAATGAAAGAAGACAATATTTTTCGCCCGTGGAATTTTATCTGCTTACATCTGATCAGTCAAAGCCTGCTTGGAAAGAGCTTCAGGCTTGTCAATCTTGTTACCCAATACCAGCAACGGAATACCACTCAATGATGGCTTGCTCAACAGGTCATGGATTTCACTTCTTGAAATACTAACATTATCATGGTCAGCAGCATCAACAACATAACTGCAGGGAAAGACATTTAAAGAACTCAAAAACAAGATATTACAATGGCTACCAGGAACATTAGTAGAATCCTTCAAAATTTGTTAAGGGCCCAGGACCGCAAGCCCATATGGGCGGTTGGCCTAAACGGTCCTAACCGGGACCGTTAGGAGGTGGGCTGGGTAGTGGGCCGGTCCCATTGGCGAGACCCGCGAGACCGGGACCGTCTGGGAAGTGGGCCAGTTCAAGCGGTCCTAAACGGGCCTATCCGAGCCCAACTGCTAATTTAAAAAAAAAAAATCTGCCACATTATAGCCGTTATGGCATTTAAAATCTAGCCGTTTCCTCTGCCAAAAACAAAATAGTCATTTAACCCCCTAACTTTGTTTTAACCCCAAACTTTTTATAATTATAACATCCTAAATTTTAATATTCAATATTTAATATCGAATATAGCTTAAATATATATACTATATTATATGTACATCTTATATCGAATATAGCTTATTATATATACACTATATTATACTATATGTACATCTTATATATCTTATATACTTTTTGGGATAACCTCTGAGTTTATTAAACTCTGACCAAATTTCATTTTTATAATCAGAATTGGTTTCTAATCTATCTGCAAAATTTTTTGATAAATCAATTGGTTTGACATTTAAACCAGATAACTTTTTGAACTTCTAAATCATTTAACGATTTGAATTTAAAATCTTGAATCTCAGGAGGTCTTTGAACATGAGTAAGAACAATTTGAGTGTCTGATTTATTTCCAGAAGTAGAAACAATATCGGTTTTGTTAGTACTCATTCCTTTTATCAAAACTGTTAATTCGCCAAATTTTTTATCAAGAGAATTTATATGTTCACCCAAAACTTTGACAAATAAACTCAAATAATTATTTTGAGAAATCAGTTTATTAATTTCGGCGATGCTGACTGCGGCAACATCTTCTTCAATAAATTTTTGAAATACAGTGAAAGTAATACCTGTATTATTAGGTAAAACAAAAGGTGATTGAGGTGGGTATATGGCTTTAAAAATATTACCACTCCCATCTTTATAAGATCTTTCTAAAACCTTTATGTATAATGGTAAATAGGTGACTATAAACCAAGGAACAAAATACATAATTTAATTATGTAAAGCACAAGTTTCATAAAACTCTTGTGAAATATTATTCAAATCTTCTTTACTATAAATGTCAAAAAACCAATTTTTAAACCGGTTCCATTTATCACTAAAGAAATCCTTTTGAACATAATTTCTTGCCTGTGACCCTGGACTAAAATCAATTTTGTGAGGAATCATTTAAACTTCATTTGGGTCAAAATCCATTTCGGATGCAGAAGGAATATCCTTATCAGAAATATTATCATTATCCTGAACAATATTTGTTTGAGGGTTAATTTTAACCCTTTCAATAGGCTTATCACTAATTTTAGTAGAAATAGTGTGCAGAGATGCAGCACGATTTCGAGCTGGTCCATAGACTGGTTCAACAGGAGAAATATGTTGAATTGCAGGCAACAGTCTATTATTAGAAAATGAATGCCTATTATAATTAGGACTAATAGTAGGCAAAAGTCTATTATTAGAAAATGACTGCCTATTATAAGTGGAACTATTATCATCAAATTGAATGCAAATCCTACCATCCGGATTTTGAGTAATATGAAAATATTCAGTATTAGTGACGACATTTGTTATTTGACTTGGGGATATAACCGAATCCAAAGTCCAAGTAGTTGGGAAATTAATTTCTTCCCACTTAATAGGTCTCCTCGTGGTGACCTTAGACTTTGCAAAATTAGTTTCCACCAATATAGTCTGATTGGATGTATCATATAATTTACATCTAGGGTTTAACGTAGATAGTAATTTAAAATAAATTCTATAAGATAAACATAGAAGTTCATTTCCACCAATTTTGTCTAATCGGATGTATCATATAATTTACATCTAGGGTTTAACGTAGATAGTAATTTAAAATAAATTCTATAAGATAAACATATAAGTTCAGATCCAGGCGCATAATTATAACCATGCGTTTTCACATTTAATGTCAATGCATCAAGTATATTAACATCAGAAAGAGATAATTGAAGATTGGGTTGAGTATTAAAATATACTGGACCATAGGCCACAGTAGATTCAATCGAACCCATCAGAGACTGTCTAAAATTCAAGTTTCTAGCATCTCTAAGAGCCGCCAAAAATGTCTCTGGTAACCCTTTAAGGGTTAATGGTTTAAAAGCAATTTGAACCATACCAATATGCAGATAATTATACTGATTTTTATATAAATCAACATCTTGTTTGTTTAACAAGCGAATAGTCTGTTCGGACGGGTTTAAAGCTAAAGATTGCTCAGTAGTTTTTATCAATTGTTTTGAAGATAATTTATCAAACCATCCATAATCATAAATTGTTCTAATTGGGACTTTAGGAATTGTCCATTTATTTAATAAATCAAGATTTTGAGGTATATCTACCTTCAAGTCTAGTATTTTTCGTACTAGTTTCTCCCAAATTCATATTAAGAAAACATATCTATGCCGAATATTTTAGATCTATCTCATATATACCATGAAAGTTCCTAGACTCTGATACCAATTTAACAGAATCGAGTAGGCTGGCGGTAATCCGCACGGCCATCCAGCTCTAGCTAAATTGTACCCTTTTGTATTAGATACATAAGAACCGAAATATACAAGAATTTTTGTATAGCTTGATGACTGTATGAAAGGGTTACCCCTTTTTTACCCAAGCAAGGGGCCTGTCTAGATCTAATACATACTCTTATTGAGCCCATGTGTCTAGCGGTTCTAACCGTGAAAAAGGACTCCCTTTTTAACATCTTCAACGGGCTAAGGTCCACGGCTTGCTAGACGGAGCCACTAAGGCAAAGCCAATAAGAGTAGTGCTAGATCCGACTGTACCACCATCCCGGAACCAAGCCAAGAAACTATATAAAATTCCTTTATATTTTGATAGAGGCCAGATCTTTCATGGTGTATATAGGAGAGAAGTTAAATATTCAACATAGATATGAAATCTCTTAGCCGGACATAGTCACGACTGGAGAGGAGAGACTTGAAATATCTAA